GAGTGGACTGGCTGGCTTGCTCGGCAACGACTTGGGCACAGGGGTGGGCCGAAAACACACACGAAGACACCGCTGCTCAATGATGCTTACCGGTACGTTGGATTGAGGGGAAGGGTAGGTTCTAATTGGTGCTCAACTGGATACACAACCATACCCACTATTCATATATCTGCAGCATGGTCTTCTTTTATCTTTGATTAGTTGGTGGACAGACTGCTAACACCTCACAGACAGATTAGAGTAGGACTGTTGTATACTACCATAGCCAGTTTTATCTAATGCTGTTGTAAGTGAACCAATCAAGATACATCTAGACTATGTTGACAATCTGTTGTGAATGCTGTAGATTGCCACTTGATCGGTAAAGTAGGGGACCTGCCGGGCACAACTATTTTTAGAAAATTAGGTGCCGGTCAGACACATGCTGCGGTAGGACTCCAACAGGGGGTTATAGTGCAGATACTGTCTGCCTAACTAATGAGTGGATCAGACACCGATGAGGGTAGAGTTGACAATGTGAGACTTACACGTTCGGGAGCACTTAGGGTTCCGCACGTGTACCAGGTCTTACAACCGGAAGACGAACGACAGATTCGTGCCAAACGCAGAGCCCGTGCGCTAGCAGCAGGGATAGCAGCAACAAACGCAGCAGCTAGAGAGCAGGCAGCCGCAGCCAGAGCGGTAGCAATGGCTAACGGCGCAGACTCTGCTGCGTCATCGTCTGCATCCTCGTCTGCGTCCTCGTCAGGGACCAATGGGACCCTGTTGGGAATGCCTCAGGGTACTTCAGGGGCAGTAAGTTCTAGTCAGTCCACAAGTCAAATGACGGGCTCGCAGTTTAGCCCGTTGACCCCACGCGGCAGGGAGCTTCTAGAGCTCCAACAGGTCGAGAGGATCCGCCAGAAGTTAGAAAAGGAACTGAAGGAAGCAACCGATAGAGAAAGATAAATTAAAAATAGAACAGTCAGGCTTGATTCGTTGGAGGCTGACAAAGCTGCTCTAGAGGCGTTGGATGAGTCAGCCATGACTGACCAACTGAAAGTGTTGAAGCACAATATGTTGTCGTTGCATGCGCACGTGGACAGCAGATTGGACTTTATGCAGCACACTCTAGATCAGATCTTGGACCTTTTGCAAAGACCAGGATTTAGACCAGCAGCACAGTCGCCGATGCCGTTAACGGGGATGTCAGGCCCCTTTCCCGTACAAGCTGGCACACAACCAAGTGGCACGTGTGCAGCAGCCGCACAGACTGTTGCTTCTTCTTCTTCGGGTCCAATGGTGATTGATACACCACCACAACAACCTGTTCCTCAACAGGGACAACCGCAAGGTCAATGGTACCCTAAGACCCCAATGAAACCGCCTTCTTCCTTCTCAGGCGAGAAGAAGGACGAAGAACTCAACACTTGGTTGAGAACAGTCCCGGTTTGGGTGAAGGCGAAGAGGACCTTGCAGGAGGACGAAGTGGTTACTGCTGCATCTTACCTCGAGGGTAAGGCAGCCAAACGGCTAGATGGTCTAGTTGCAAAGGCTGGTTATGGACGACGCATGGCAGACTGGGCAAAGTCGATTACGTTAGACCAGTTCCTAGAAATGGTAGAAGCTCGCTGGCATAATCCTCAGCAAGCACAAATGGCCACTGATGCGATTAACAGACTAGATCAAAGAAAGTTTACGTCAGTCAGAGCGCTTACGACTTCCATAGAGAGCCTCATCGTCGTTTCAGGCATCAACTACAGTGATCAGTTCCTGTTGACTACATTTGTTAGATGTCTTCCAGAGAACCTCAGGAACTTGCTGGCCAGCGAGGCTCGCCTCGAGTACCATTCGTTTGAGACATTGCCTAGAAAAGCCTTAGACTTAGAGGCTACACTAGGAAATGCTCAACCCTCTCAGAATGATGCGAGGAAGAAGAAGAGTCCGCAGGAATGGAAGAAGAAGGGGGCAAAGTTGATGATGGTTGAGTCTGATGGGACTCAAACAGAGATTGACGAGCTCACAGACCTGCTGGACGTTTCAGAGTACGACGGCGAGGAGACCGCTGAGGGTAGCACCCTCGCCGCAGTAATAAAAACTAAGGCTGGTGGCCGAGTGAAGGGCCAACCAAAGAGTCAAGGCAGACCAAAGTAGCTGATTGGGTCAAGGCAGGTTTTGATCAAGACGTGTGGCGGGACCGCCGAGTGCGTGGCGCTTGTATAAACTATGGTGAATACAGACACACCCAGTACAAGTGCCAAAACGCAAAGGTCACGCATAAGATAACTCCTAAGATTGGGGCATCTTCTTCCCAGGCTTCTAGCTCGGTAAACACGTGAGGCCGGTGGAAGTTTTAGCTGCTTCTGCTCATGGTGAAATGGGCCCGATACCCTCCCCACTTCATGAGATGGCCATAGCTAATGACTCTTTAGTCACCCCGCAGACTTATCTAGACCAAACTATGCTCTGTACGTTAGATGTGTCTGAAGCCTTAGAAGATTTGGAGAGTGAGTGGTCAAACAAGGACCCTCGTGAATCTCGGGTGGCGCTAAGGAAAGGTCCTAGAGGGGAACATTTCGTGGTGGAAGTTGATGTAGGAGGCCGCAAATGTGGTGCCTTCATAGACATTGGCTCCACGTGGAATTACATAAGTTGCAACTGTTTGGAAAGGTTGCACCTACAGGACCGGGTACAACACCTTAGTAGACCTGTAGCATCTACTTTGGCCAACAAGGAGCGCATGATAGTCACAGACTATATCAAGGACGTAGTCTGTACCTTCTCCTATGGAGAAGGATAACTTAATCATAAGATTTCGTTCTTGGTTAGCGACAACTTACCATTCGACATGTACTACCTTGAGGTTGCTAAGCCCCAGTTCGACTGGGATAAGAAGGTGCTAAAGCATAAGTTGCCTGATGGCAGGACAGTCAGATTGACTAAGTTCAAAGTCAGTAGCATTATAGATACCTATGGCTGCTTGTGTGCATCAGCATTCTACAATTATTATAAGCAGAACCAAGAGGAAGGTATGTACCTAGTGTATGTCTCTGAGAAAGGGAAGGCCGTTAAATCACCCCCAGAGATAGAACACGTCGTTGCTAAGTTCCCTGATCTGTTCGAGGAGCCCACAGGAGTCGTAGAAATGGAGGTTGTCCACACCATAAAAATCATTCCAGGGAGTAAAACCCCAAAGGGAAGGATCTATAGGATGACTCCCGTCGAGTTAGATGAACTTCGGCGATAACTGAAAGAGCTGACAGAGAAGGGATGGATCCGGCCTAGTACTTCCCCTTACGGATCTCCAGTTCTATTCGTACCAAAGAAGGGGGGTACATTGAGGATGTGTATAGACTATAGAGGCCTCAATGCCATCACAGTGAAGAACGCAGAGCCTCTACCTCGCATAGACGACCTACTGGATAGGGTGCAGGGATGCAAGTACTATAGCAAGATAGACTTGAAATCCGACTATCATCAGATCGCAATAAGACCTGAGGACCAACACAAGACAGTTTTTCAGACCAGATACGGTCTATATGAGTTTATAGTGATGCCCTTTGGTCTTTGCAATGCGCCGGGAACATTCCAGCACGCCATGAAGCAGATCTTCCATGACCATTTAGATAAGTTTGTCGTGGTTTACCTTGACGACATTCTGATCTTTAGTAAGTCTGTCGAAGAGCATGCACAGCACGTTGAGACTGTACTTTCACTCCTACGACAGCACAAGTATAAGGTCAACCTAGAGAAGTGTGAGTTTGGTCGCACTAAGATATTGTACTTGGGTCATGAAGTATCCGCGGAAAGGATTAGGCCGGAAGATGTGAAGGTGGCTAGTATTCGAGACTGGCCACGACCTCAGACTGTCACTGAGGTCAGATCTTTCTTAGGAATGTGCGGCTTCTATAGGAACTTCGTAAAGAACTATTCTACAGTCGCCTCTCCTTTGACAGATCTAACTCGACTTGACACGCTGTGGGACTGGAGTGATGAGTGTGAGGGTAATATCAAGCGATTGAAGCATGCACTCATGAATCATGAGGCTCTCATGGTGCCCGATCCTCAGAAGCCATTCATAGTGACCACTGACGCAAGCCAATACGACATTGGCGCAGTGCTGGCTCAGCAGGATGGGAAAAAGTTGAGACCGATTGAGTACATGAGCAAGAAGATGCCATCGAAGAAACTGGCAAAGTCCACCTATGAAAGGGAACTCTATGCTCTTTACAAAGCACTTGTCCATTGGAGATACTTCCTATTGGGAAGGTTCTTCTACTTGAGGACTGATCATCAGACCCTCAAATGGATCAAGACTCAACCGGCTCTTTCTGACGCACTCAAGCGATGGATTGAAGTCATGGACCAATATGACTTCAAGCTTGAGTATCTGAAGGGAGAGTACAACAAGGTTGCAGATGCGTTATCACGTAGGGCAGACTACCTAGGTGCGCTAGTTTCTGACTTTGGTGTATCTGAAGAAGTAACTCAATCGTTGGTGGGAGCCTATCAGGAAGACCCTGTCACGATGGACATCATTCGCAAACTTCAGGTGAAAGACAAGGCCACAGAGAATGAGTTTGTGATGGTGGACGGGCTACTCTATCTTGATAAGGCCGGAGTTAAAAGGTTAGTAGTTCCATCAACTGAGAGTTTGTGTAGTTTATTTCTTGGAGAATGTCACGACGCAACTGGACATTTTGGCTACAAAAAGACGATTGACAATCTAGTACAACGATTTTGGTGGCCTGAAATGCTAGATGACGCAAAGAAGTACGTAAAGACCTGTCAGGTTTGTCAGCAGGACAAGCCGTGAACTCAAGCACAGCTTGGGTTGTTGAAGCCCTTACCTATCCCCGCTGGTCCAGGACAGAGTGTTTCCATGGATTTCATGGATACCCTGGTGACCAGCAAGAGTGGCAAGAGACACATCTTCGTCATCATCGATCGATTCACGCTAGACTAGTTGCCATGCCAGAGACCGCAAGGACTGACCACGTCATCAAGTTGTTCATGGACAATTGGGTGCGTGATTTTGGACTTCCGAAGTCAATCGTTAGTGACAGAGATGTCCAATTCACAAGTGAGCTGTGGAAGAAGACTGCTGAGCAGATGGGCAGTCAACTTCAGATGACTTCAGGGAATCATCCCGAAGCCAACGGATAGGCCAAGCAAATGAATAGAGTTGTACAGCACTTGCTCAGGCATTACATCAAGCCCAACCAGGATGATTGGGATGAGAAGTTGCTCTCATCGCTAGCCTGTACAACAACGCTGTACACAGAAGTACCGGCGTTAGTCCTAACCAGTTGCACTTGGGATGGAAGCCTAGATCTGCTATAGACTTCCTCCTACCTGAAAACCGATCCTCTGCAACTCCAGGCACACTTGAGTATGGTGTGCAGTATGAGAAGTTGTTGCAGCAAGTTGTCGAGCATATTAAGAAAGCTCAGCAAGCAACGATTGCTTCTGAGAACAAGCATCGGCGACAGTCCTCATTTCAGGTAGGGGAACGTGTCTAGGTCAGGGCTAGTGAGCTAGGACAGGAATTCGGTATCTCTAGAAAACTAATGCCTCAGTACTTTGGTCCTTGGGAAGTCCTGGATGTAGTGGGGGATAAGATAGATGGTCCCACATATGTTATCCGTATCCCTGGACACCTACGCACTCACCCAGTCTTTCATGCCTCAAAGCTTGCACCTTTCGCTGAGACTGATCAATTCCCTTCAAGGAGATCGATGCTGCCCCCAACCATGGATGGCCAAGTGGACATCAACGACATCGTGGATCACAGGGACATGCCTGTTCCAAAGCCGTTGGGTCGAGGAAGACCTCCTAAACCCAACAGAGAGTATCACGTCAGATTCAGACATCATACGGATCCAAAAGAAGATCGGTGGTTTACCAGAGAGGAACTGATTGAGACAGCTCCTCAAGTGGTGGCAGAATATGAAAGAAAGTTAGAAGGGAAGGCACCTGCGAAGTAAGCATCTCAGCGGACTTTCAAAGTTGAGGGGGATGGAATGTGAGGATTGAGCCCTCAAGAAGGGGCCTTGCCATGATGTACATAATCTGGGCTAAGGCCCCAGCAAGCCTAGTGCCCTCCCTAAGTGAAGGCGGGCCAGCAAATCAACAAGAGCCCTCTGTGCAAACATTTCACGAAGTGGGGTCCATACAGTTGCAGCACGCCAGTTGGTTGGAGTGCACCGAGTCTCGGATCTCTGCAAATGCGGAAATCCCAGGGCCCCTGAGTTGGTTAGGCCCTAGGCACATAAACGTGAGGCCGACAATGCATGCTGGATGTAGAGGCCGAAAATGCCAATGGGAAATCGGTCCACTATCTGAATCTGGCCGCAGGCCTTGATGAAAGAGGCGCAACTGCATCGCCCGGGCCCCAACCACATCGGGCCTGGGTTCAGGCACTGGGGCCCAGTCGCAGGCTGAAGGGAGGCCGCCCACACGCAACACTGGCATATAGGCAAGCAGGGCGAGTG